AATTGACTGTCAACGTGACGAAAGAAGAAAGTGACTGTGGACAACCTCGAAAGGCCCCCTCAAGTTGGAGCGGTGTCGACGCTCGGGCTGCTGCCGACGGCCAAGGTCTAGGTTCAATCACCATCAGTCACACCCAAATACACACCACATCACCCTTCTTTCCCTTGCACTACACAACCACATGCGACCTGACCGACTCCGGAAGGACCAGTCGCCTTGGATATAGGTAAGTAAGCTTCGTCCAAATTCCTTCCGGTCGACTGGCCGTAGTATAACGCTCCCCCATATATTTTAGTGTAATTAGAGAGATTCCACGTGGCCACATTGAGGCCCGACCTACGTCTGTTCGGGAAGTCTTCAGCTCATGGGCCCCTGAGGATTGGATCCTTTAAGGGAGCAGCCGTAGGCCGTAACAAATATCTTATATTAAAGTTTTCGAGCATGCGCGACTACCACTCCCGCGCATGCGCGAAGACAGAGTAGGACACAATTTTTGTTTAGAATGGCTTCTCTAGTACGTAGTACATATAACTCAATGGCCGGAACAAACAAACAGACAGACAGACAAAAATTTTAATTTTTTTTTATAGGATAAGGGTGACAAACGAGAACACAGTCCACCTGATGGCAAGTGGTTGCTGCGGCCCATAGAAATCTAAATCTATCCTCGTTTGCGAATCAAAATGCAGATGCTTTGCCACCCGTGAGGACTAAGATGGAATGCCTCATTTCCAGTAAAAAGTGCCTCGGGCCACCTGCACTCACCAAGCGAAACGCAGAGGTAAACCTCTACTTCACGCTGGTATTCTGTGAGGTCGTGGTACCACCCCGGTTCGAGCCGGCCCATCCGTGCGACAGCAAAAGCTGCCGCGTGGCTCTACCACTGTTAAAATTTGTTGTTAAATTGTATTTTAGTTATATAAGTAGCGTATTTACTTTCATATGCATTTAGTAAAAAAACTGTAATTTTGACATTACAAACAGACACTTCAATTTTATTTATTTGTATTGATTAGATAACATACCAATCTTTTTCATCATGTACTTTTCTAATTTATGTAAAAAAAAAACTAATGAAAGGTTTCACGAGAATCTGATTTGGCATAAAGCGAAATTATGCAATTGGGTCACCAGTTTTCGTGCAGATCGGAGCATTAAGGTCGTAATGTATGGTGCGTGCTCCGACTCCAAGCCTGTGAATGCCGGTGTTCCACAAAACAGCGTGCTATAGACTACCCTATTCCTTCTGCATATAAATTAAATGTTGCATATTAGTAACATTCATTTTGATGCTTTATCACCGGCCGTGCTAACATTTCTCGGAAACACATAGTCGAGTACCGGAACAAACTTGTGTCTGAATCTGAAATCTCTGTTTAACCAGGCCTGTCTCACTCTGCGCTTTAGGCATGAAAATATACCTACGCTGCGCGGCCGCCTACAAGAGGCTAATTTAGTAAGTTTGACGCGCGCCTTAAGTTAACATATAAGTATTTTTCTCTTATATGCATTTCATCATCATCATCATCATTACAGCCCTTCACAAGTCCACTGCTGAACATAGGCCTCCCCCAAAGAATGCCACAAAGCACGGTCCTGAGCCACCTGCATCCATCGTCTTCCTGCATATCTTACCAGGTCGTCACTCCATCTCGTGGGGGGACGCCCTACACTTCGCCTACCGGTACGAGGCTGCCACTCGAGAACCTTATGCATTTAGGCACTTGATATTTATTTTTGTGTTTTTATTCAAATATGGCCTCTCAAAAGGCCAAAAGGTACTGCATAGCATGTGGGTGCTTAAGTAACAACAGGAATATCAACTTTTCAGTCTTTACTGTATGTATAATATATATATATATATATATATATTTATATATATATATATATATATATATATATATATATATATATACCTGCTTTCTTATCAGCTCGTCACTCCATCTAGTGGGAGCCGGCATACACTTCACTAACCAGTACGAGGCTGTTACTCAATACCTTTCTTCCCCATTGGTTCTTCTATCTATACGAGTATGGCCAGTACATTGCTACTTTAGCTTGCTATGGATATTCTCAACACATTTGAAGGAGAGAAGAGAGAGAAACTTCCAGGAATATAAGCAAGGTATAAATGCATGCTAATGAGATTTGCAAAAAGAATTTAATGATAATTATTAACATCCAGAAAGCTGTTTATTTCGCCAAGATTTTTTATTGAATGCCACGATCTAGTGGTCTCGAGTACAAATTCCAAGTCAGGCTAAAAGATTTATTGGAGTTTTCTGTCAAATAATACTCTGGAGTCAAGAAATTGGTCATGTTTTACCCCCGAACCTCGGAAAGTACAGAAAGACATTGGGCCTACGCCTCTTCGATCCCACAGATCTTTCTCGGGTCATGTCGGATTGCTGTACTGTTACGTCATATATTGTCATAAATAGTTATGAAGGTGGGTACTTGCATAACATTCTTAAGAAATAATGTTAGTTAAATCAACCTGTTTGTCATTAGTTTTGCTACCTAGCACAATACACGTATTTACCTAAATTACGGTGTTTTATTGGATCTAACATGTACCATCGGACTTTAAGAGTGAGAAGAGTGAGTGAATAGAGAGTACACCTGTGCTTCTGCACATACTTGTGCACCATAATCCTGTCCTGTGCAGATGGCTCCAATGATACTGGCCGTCATGTTCGTAATTCAGCCCGGACAACATTAATAAACAAATATTAATGTAAAGCTACAGAATCAACCAAAAAATGTATTGCGATGAACTAATAATTTAACAAAAATTTATAGAACATCATGACAACTCACATCTAATCCATTTGAACTAAAATTAGGCATACTTATAAAACATAGATGATAATTCAGGCTGGCAACGCATCTGCAATTCCCCTGGTTCCCCTGGTGTTGCAGTTGTTCATGGGCACCGGTAGAGAGAGACCCTTCTAACTGGAAATGAGTTATTCCATCTTAGTCCTCACGGGTGACAACGCATCTACAATTTGATTTATAGACGAGGATAGATGTAGATGTCTATGGGCCACAGCAACCACTTACCTTCAGGTGGACTGTGTGCTCATTTGTCACCGTTATCCTATAAAAATAATACGATGACGGACAATGTTTTTTAATCATGTTTTGAAACCTAATTTAAATGTAATGTAAACAATGAATGCAATTAATTGAATATAATGGAAGTAATGAATTGTATGTTGTAGAGCCACGCTGCAATTAAATTATGGATGTAGCACAAATGGGTCGGCTCGTCCAATGAAGGATCACAACCTCACAGAATAAGAATACCTGAGTGAAATAGCAGCTTGATGTAACTGTGTTTAGTATGGTCATTGTTGAGAAGTAGAGATCCTTTTAACTGGAACCAACGCATTCCATCTTAGTCTTCAAGGATGACAACACAGGGTAGATTTTCATATCTATGGACCACAGCATCCACTTGCCATCAGGTGAACTGTGTGAAAGTTAAGGGAATTGTTGAGAAGTGGCGTTGATTTCGACTTTTAAAATTGTCCTTTAGAAAAGCAAATTTTAACCAAAAATATTTTGACTTCAACATATGTCTGCAACAATCAACGACGGGTAGCGTTGGGTAGCCCCTAATAAAAAGCACAGTGCGAATAGAGTATGGGTCATAGTTTGCTACTCGTACAGCTTCTTTGATAGTTAATTTTGTTAATATGTAGATATGTACTTTAAAGTTAGTTTAAGACGATAGTACGTCACTATGAGTGGAGTATAAGGTAAGCACAAGCGTTGTTACTTTAACAGTTTATTACACACACTAAGTTTGATGTGAAAAATGGTGCATTATAAATAATGCATCAGCATAACCTAATATATGGTTTTCAGATCGTACAAATAGTATCCTGCAGCAATTCAATCAACTGAAATAAGCAGCCGCATCATAGAGCAAACACAAATAAGTTTCAATACATATTCTGGTAAATAAATAAATTTATTATTATTAAATTTATTATTATATTTTTGGCTTGCAGTCAACTAAACGGCTAGCCGCAATATGGGTATCTGCATAATGTGTAGATGTTTTTAGAACTATCTTTACAAGTCACAAGTACAACACAATATGTCCTATAATATATTTACACAATTATCTTACTTTATAGCAAATCATAAATAATGTTATCCTTGTTATGTTGACCCTTACACTAGTAATATGTAAAATGGACTTTTGTTGTGCTTTGATAGAGCTAACCAATTTTTGGTATATCAATACCCATCCAATAAACTTTTACGAAGGAAAAATAGCTACATTTGGTTACATTAACTATTTTACATATAGTAATTGTAAAGCAGACTCCGTATTCAGTAATATTATACCTGTTCAGATCTTGATCTATCTCAAAATTATCAAGCAACATCCCAAGTAAGGGTAAGTAGACTGTAGACAAACTTGGGGAGGCCCTGCCTGAAATAAACAGTTGTTTAACCAAAATTCTAATGAGACTGAACAAGCCGCAGATCAGGATAGTAACAAATGCTATCACAGGACACAGCACCTTTAACAAACATTTATTTCCTATAGGTGTTACAGATAGTCGCCTGTGCAGGGCTTGTACGGGGGAGGAAGAAACGGCGGCCCACATGGTACTGAAATGTCCGGAGGTCGCTACATACAGGGCTCAACATCTTGGCACGCCGGGATCACTCCCCGAAGTTGCATGCAACATCATAGGACTGTTGAGCTTCTTCGAAGAGATCTCATGGCTCGAATAATCACATTATTCCTGCCCACACGCAAAATACGCGCATAGACGTGGAGTTGTGGAAAACAGCCCATCATAAACTAAACTAAAGGGTAAGCAGCCTAAAGGGTAAGATACAAGATACTGGAATGGTCAATACAAATCTTGCCTACAACAGGGGAAACCCCACATACAGCAATGGACTTTTTAAACCTGATAAACAAAAATGGAGAACTAACATTAATAACAGTTAATATATAAATCACTTACCAGTATATGATGTAGAGCTGTAGGAATCAGCAGATGAGGCCGACAAAGACCTGCTTCGGTATCTGGCAGACTTCTTCAATGCTCCGGATTTTCCGCGTTGACCCTCAAACTTCGCAGCAGTACCCTCGGTATTACTGTTCCTGACATGTCCAGGGTCGGTCACAGGGCTGTCACTAGGTACATTAGCTGTGGCTTTCACGCTTTCTTTTCTATTTTGATTTGGCTCCCCATGCCCGTCAGACATTTTGCTGTATTCTTTAATTGGTAATAATGACCAACAATATTAAGGTTTAAATTGAGAAAGTGGTAGCACTATTATATTTGCGATTTCAAGAAAATTTAATTTATTTACTCAAAACAATTTTATTGTAAATATGAAAAATCGAATTTATTAATTTTTAAGTGGAAAATAAACCATTATTCAAACATGACCAGCGGCGATGCAAAAGCACTAATTAAATAAAACCATAATTATTCAGGTATTCTAAATAAATTAAACCAAAACACTATTAAAAAAAAATCACAACAGGTTTACTGCGTATATTTCAGTTATACTTTTAAAAATTTATTTAAAAACTAAAGATTCGCACATCCACTTTACAAGCTGAAATCTGAAAAACACCCCTCCCTTTCTCGTCCAACTCTTCAGCTCTTCACCCCCGTACCTTTATCATTAGAAAACAGAAATGTCACTTTCGATCGGGAGGACTCTATGCTCTATGCATCCCATAAGGGTACATTTTGGGGTACATGTATTCTGTGCTATGCATAAACAAATAAAACTCTATGGCACAGAAAACCACAAAGCAGGCTGGTGTACGAAACGGGGTCAAATTTTAATGACGGTTATCTCTTGTTTCTGCTTTTCGTGATATGTCCATTATCATTATCAAATTAAATAGGTTTAAATTTAAATCAAACAGTTACATACGTTGATATATTTTATTTATTAAGATTGCTTTTAATTTTGCTGTAGGAGCCGCTGTTCATTTACAGAATTGGTAAAAAATTAAATATGCATTATAAAACATGCCAATTAAAGGATGTAAGAAGCGGAGAAAATAATAACAAGAAAAGGCTATTCGTAGCAATATTTTCCTTAGATCATGAAAGGTATGTGTTGATTTCAACTTTAATTGTAATATGATATTTAACGCAAATACATTTTTGGACTAGCCGTCTATGTAGGACAGGTTTGTATAATGTACGATTGTGTGCACAAATACAAACACACTATTTCCTAAATCTGATAGTTCGAAACGAACTATACTGAGGCCCGTATTAATAAACGTTACTCAGCTCAAGTACACGCACTTGAGTATATTCTCGAGGTTATGATCTTATTAATAAACATATCTCAAGATGCGGTTTAGGTTTACGATATCAGCTGAGTGCCACACTGATTAATAAACGAAACTCGACTCTCAAGTGTGTGTACTTGAGTGCAAGTCACAGAACAGTATTCCTAAGTACAGCGTCTTGAGATACTGTTTTATGTGTTTATTAATTAGCAACAATCTTTAGATGCTGATATAGTAATGAGGGCGTATCAAATAATTACGCACTTAAGTTCGTCGTTGAGTAATGTTTATTAATACAGGCCTTAGAAACTACATTATCAATTGTGCCTGCTAACATTCTATTTGTTCAATAAGAATGTGATTTTATTTATATTATTTTTTTAGATGTAAGCAATGGGTGAAATAGCATGCATGCACCAATGTAATATCGCTAGTTCACACTGAGGTAAAGTTTTTTGTTACACAATGTAATTTAATTGAGAAGTTGTTTTTTTACAAAAAGTTTATCAGTTTCTAGAGTATTTTATTAATACACAAAACAATGCGTCAGTGGTCTGCTCCTTAATTTTTTGCACAATTTCACTTTTTTTTGTACTATTATGGATATCTGTGGTTTGGTTTACTTATTCTTAATGTTATTAATTTAAAATATGGCTAAAAGCACAGAAAGATATAATAATAACAAACCATTTATTCTCTTTTCACAAATAGTACATTTAGATTAACAATTTGTCATAATTCGGTTTCAGCTTTGTGAGAGACTGGTGCCTGAAGTAGGTTTTTGTAATAAAACAATAAAAGAAACAATATCTTTTAAATTTTTCGACCAAACTCACTTCCCCGCTATGCAATCTGTCATGTATTATACCTCACTTTCTAGTGGTGGTGGCACAAAAAGTCGTGGATCATTGAAAAGATTCACATGTTAAAACATACTTGTGGTAAACATTGCAAATTCGAGGCTTTTGAACACAACTAAAATGAGCTGTTATTCTATCAGTGAACTTAATTAAAACTTCCACAATTATGTGTTTGTTAATTAGGTTTCGTTTACATGTAGCAAAATATAATACCCTCTAAAGTCACATTTTGGTAAGAATTCGATTATATAACTAAACTCGAAGTTATTTGTAACTACCCGTTTACATATTCTTTTAGATTCATCTACAAACATTAGCTTTAAGGAGCAATCATTTTGAAAGCGACTATTAGTAAATAAGCTCTGCGAGTAGTATGTACATAGGTACCTTTGTGAAGAAGCTTAGCGATTTGTACATAGTATTTGTTACACGAAAAAGCAATTTAATCCAATCAGTGTTAAAAAAACCCAATATTTTTACCCTTTTAAAAAAATAACGTCGAAAACAAGCATCTAGACGCAGACTATTTAATTTTAAGCATAGAAACACTTGTTCAGTACGGGAACGAAGCCTCGGTCCTGCAATGCCGCAGCCAAACGCTTAACCAGTGCGCTACGGAGTCGTCATTTATTTTTTACTTAATTAATTACTAGTATAATAGTGCGTTTTTTATTTTATATTTTCTTTAAACATATTTTTGTATCTAATCATTGTAGATATATAATTATAAATTGCTGTGTGTAAAATAAATTAATTTCTTATCCTCATTGGCATTTTTACTCAATCCCCACGTTAAAAAATTTATTTCTCATAAATAATTCAGTATAGAGATCTAACTTTTATTGTGTAAAAATATCGATTAACAATATATCGATAAATGTTATATCGACAAAATTATTCGAGGATAGACATTTTAGCACTATTGTAATTCGTCAATGTTGTTAACACTGTTTGTCAAAACTAGATGTCATATCTTGATGTTGGTAGAGTAGCTTGTTGTACTTGTTTTTACTATGGAAGTCCCGCCTCTTAAACGTAGTGGTTATATTCTCTTTGGACTAAGTGTTCTGTGCTCTTTGGTCAGTGTATTTGGTCACTAGCTTCACTGACTTAGAAGTATATGAACTGGGCATACCTACAGAATTAGCGTGACTACACCATAGATAAATATATATGTAGCAAGCTAGACTACACAAACATCTGGCGCATAAAATGGCCGCCTTTTATAGGGTTGCGACTCTGCAATATGGGCAGCTGATATCGATATTTTTACTAATATGAGTTTGTCCTTATTTCATATAATTATAGAAATGAAATCCATAGCCGCATTGCGTAACACACCTAAAATGGCAAACCATATCAATTTGACAGTTTAACAACATTCATTGCGTGGTTTTCGTTGTCGAGCAAACGAATTTTTCAATCATATGAAGCAATGGATATTGTTGGGTTGTTAAATTAGTTTTGGATTGCTATCCCTTAAATTTCGCTTGAGCTGCTTCACGAGGCTTCACCGCATATGTACACTTACGCACTGCAAACTGCTACAGATTTTTTTTGTGTTAGGTACACAATCAAACAATGAGTTAACTGTGCAGGCAGCTAACTTGCAACTTATTTTGAACAATGTTCTGAGTGTGCTAAGTGCTTATTCAAGTTTTGAAGTTATACTTTATTTGGCGCGTTTGAGAAAAATGATGAGAGTGAATTTTTTACAACTTCAATTGGTAATTGTCTGTCAATTGTTAAGTTTTCGTGAGAACTGATAACTATATTCGAGGTAGTTATTTCAATATATATGAATGTATAAAACGTGTTTTATTTTACTTATTTTTGTTTAGTTAGGCTAAAGAAGTATAGCTTCTTACGTGCATACATAAGTACACACACACGTTTTGTTTTATATTAATGTGAACAAAGTCAAAAAGTTATAACGCACACAACAAAAATGAATATTGTCAGAGTAGTGGGAAAATGAATATTTTTGCTTGTATACCAAATACCTTTGTTTACTGTGCAATATAATATAATATTATACAATACAATATAATATAATATTGTACAGTAAACAAATGTATGGAGGTGGGATGGAGATCCTTGATTCCACATTGTAATCCCATATTATAGTATTTTTAATATAAAATAATAATGATTAGTTGAGTAAAAATTAAATAAACTGTTTTTAAAATCAACACTTATTTATTATTAATTAGTATATAGGAACGTTCTGCACATAATTTATCACAAATGGTAAGTTATATAAGCATGTTCGGTCCTGCCGGATATCATATTTAATTTTTTTATCCAGATTTTAAATGATAATAAATATAACTATTTTCGCAGGTACATTAATTTTGTTCATTTAAAAATCGAAAATCTGGCTATTATAAACTATTATTATTATTATATATTCATTTCTGAACAAAATTAATTTATTAAAATAATTTGTATCGACACCATAGATAAGAGTGTACGACACTATTTCACTGCTTTTTTTGATAGTTTGACAACAGATCTACCTCAAAACTTGGCACTTAACATGGCGCGCATGTATGAGCTAATGACGTCACAAGAAAGTATTACCAAATTAAGCACTTTACAAACTGTAGATGTCTCTCTTTTCTTTTGCAGCTACTGCTTTGTTAAAAAGAGACAAAACTATTTTTGACAAGTGTGTGTTGATATTATAGATGTTTGTATAACTATTATTTCTATAGTGGAATATGCCCTCTCCATAGGTATATATCTCTATGACTAGCGTTGTCAAAAATAATTTACATATTCTGTCTATGGGAATGGGATTAAATCTATGGTCGCCAATGGTCGCCAAAACCAAACGCCAATATGGTGAAGAGAATGACAATTACACGAAACAACTAGGAAATAAATAACGGTATCTGTTTATAACAATATCTTTTGGTAAGTGAATATGTTTCAATAAAAATATTATGATCCAAAAATAATTTTCAATTATTGTTATAAACTTTTTATCTTTACTACATAGATATAGAAATAAAAAATAATTGTGAAAATCGTCATCCATTCATGTACCGGTAGGCAAATAGCATTTAAAGTATTATTTAGATTTTGTGTACATATTACTAAGAAAATGAGTCTATTAATTAAACGAGTGGTAAAATTAATAAATATTTCCACTTATTCAATTGCGTCGTTTCAAGAAATTGCGCTATACGTGCTATCTTAAAAAACATTACTTGTATCTTCATGTGTGATCATTGCCGATTTAGAGCTTTACTATAATGTTAAACATATTTAAGTAGGTACATACTCGTTAATTTGTATATTAGCTTATATGTATCTCTTTCTTCTTTCATAATGTATTGATGGAATGTATGTAGTGATAACGTGAAGTAATAAGTGACACTAATCAAGGCTGTTTATTTGTGTTTGGAATATGATCGACAAATATATTATGACGACACGTGGCCTATCCATAATATGGTTATTGATGTCATTATAACAATGTTGGATGAAACTAGTGTCACATCTTCCATTTTCTATATCAATTCTGTTGATATATATGTGCTTATATAAAAGATTTATAGTAACAAAAATACATGCTTACCCTAAAAATCTGTACCATACACAATCCTTTGATTTCATGTCAAAAGACCATTTAGATCAATATAGACAATTTACAAAAGGTCAATTTATTGAAAGCTGAATTGAGACAATCTATAGATATTGTGTCAATAAAGGCAATCCAGACCAATGGATTGTCCTTTCCATCGGCCTCTCAATTCAATTAGAATGATAATTTTTTTGAGCTGCAACCTTTCCTCATTGTAAGGGCAATTGTGAGAATTTTTTCTGACACAGAACAGGGATATCCAAAATCAAGTGCACAGTCATCTCTTAATTTTAATCATTGAATCTTCCTTTGCGTTATCTTTTTTCCCACCATTTTTTTTAATTTGTTAATTCTTAACCAGTATTTTTGCATATTTTTATCCCTTATGTTTGAATTTTTTTTAAAGTTATGTATGAAATAAATTCCTTCTTTCCATTTTTTATGATTTTTAGTACTTCATTTTGTACTAAAACATGCATTTGTTAAAAAGTAGCTCCTGAGGCCATTTTATGCCTATAGCTTTTTGGATGTGTTTTATCATCCAGAAAGAATGATTTAAAGAGTTATTTTTTTAATCAATGTTTTTGTTGCAGAAATACTTTTTAATTTTCATAGAATAAGGGTGACAACAAGAGCACACAGTCTACCTTTTGTTAAGTGGATGCTGTGGTCCATAGACATCTACATCTATCCTCGATTACAAATCAAAATGTATATGCATTGTCATCCATGAGAACCAACATGGAATGCCTCACTTCCAGTAAAAAGGGTCTTGGTTCTCTACACTCACCATATGAAACACATTAAGCTGCTATTTTACGTAGATATTATGTGAGTGTGTAGTCCTTTCCCGGTCGAGCTGACCCATTAGTGCTACAACTATACTACTAATATAGCTACAGCATGACTCTACCACATATGTTTTCAGTATAACTTTTGATTTATAATAAATCCTATTGAAAATAGAATGATAGTTGGTAGTCAATAACAACAAGTTTGTAATATAATTTTGATTATAGATGTAGATGAATATTTAAAATGTAAATTATATGTAAACAATGTAGGTATCTAGCATATAAAACAAATTTGTGTACATCCTTAAGCAAGAATATTATTACAAACATAAAGTGTTATGTTCTTACATGCTTAAGTAGTCATTATTGCACTATGGATATATAATCTGAGGAAAAAGCATTCTGAAACAGAGCAATATAATTTATTAAATGGTAACAAGGTATTTTATCTGTCTTCAGGGGTCACTACACATCTACACTCCATTACAGCCTATTAAAGTCCACTGCTTTTTTTTATAGGATCGAGGGACAAACGAGCACACAGTCCACCTGATGGTAAGTGGTTGCTGTGGCCCATAGACATCAACATTTATCTTCGTTTGCGATTCAAAACGTAGATGCGTTGTCACTCGTGAGGACTAAGATGGAATGCCTCTTTTCCAGTAAAAAGGGTCTCCGGTTCTCTACACTCACCATACGAAACACAGCAGTGTTAAACTGCTATTTGATGCTGGTATTCTGTGAGAGCGTGGTCCTTCCCCGGTCGAGCCGACCCATTCGTGCTACAACTATACTACTAATATAGCTGCAGCATGGCTCTACCACATACAAAATGCTCCACATAAGCCTGCCTCATAGGAAGGATATTTGCCATAGTTGCCACAATTGGCAAATGGGTTGGCAACTGCAGTTTTTATTTTTAGTTGTTATTAAAGGAAAAGAAGGGTGCTGCCTATCTCCTGATTTGTTGCCCTCTGTCTCCTCTTACGAAACTCGCGGAATGATATGGAGTAGTGGATATTCTTCACCACCCACACTCTACACTCACTGGCGTCAATTGTATCTGCTAACACACAGGTCTTATGTGCAACGTCCATGTCACACCTAAGCCGGTAGTTGGATGCACTATACTCAATGTTGTTGAGGAATATTTTTACCTTATGCCTAATGTTAAAAATCTGAATACCAATGTGTTTGTAAATGGGGAAGAACTGAGCCCTGTTAAATTCTGTTTTCTTGGCATCACTCTTGTCTTGATGCAAAGCTTCAGTGGGGGCCCCCATATATCCAAACTAGCAAGTAGAGTAAGCTGCAGCTTATGTTGTAAAAAAAATTAGAGATCTCACTAGTGTAGAGACAGCTAGATTAGTTTATTTCAGTTATTTCCATAGCATGTCTTCTGGGATTTTGCTATGGGGAAATGTGGCTGATTTAGAAACTATTTTTGTTTTGCAGAAGAGGACCATAAGAGCAATTGTAAATAAATATTTACAATATTAATTTACAATTGCTCTTATGGCCCCCTAAAAATAGACCAAGAAAGTCTTAGAGAAAAATTAAAAAAAACATATTAACTTTGGCCTCTCAGTATATTTAGGAAAATTTTATGTATGTTCACAAAAACAAAGATAGTTTTAGTAAAAAAAGTGATATACACTCTGTAAACATTAGGAACAAACACACGCTAGTGATACTGGTCTCTCAACTCTACAGATTCAGTCATGCATTCTTGGGGCAATGTATACGCTATTACAACAAAGTCCCATAAAATATACAAGGTATCTCTATTACCAAGTTTAAATACTTAATTCAACAAAAGCTGTATAAAAAGGGTTATTATAATATAAATGAATACAATTATTCTTGCTTGATAATAATTAGGATTGAGCTGGTTGCTTCCAAGCTGTTTCTAAAATAAATTTTGTAAATAGTTTGTAATCACTTATATTCTAAAATTTATTTTAAAAAAAGTCCCGCTGGGTTTCTTGCTGGTTCTTCCAAGGACAGAGGATTTTTTTTATTGTTCTTAGGACATATTATCTAGGTAAGCCTAACTTTGACTGAGAAGTCTATTGACGATTTTAAAACCATTGAAAGCAAGAATGTACATTTCAATGTTGACAGAGATCATGTCCAGTAAGAGGCCAATGATGATAAATTATAGCAATGCTCTTTATCATCAAAGACTGGGTCACCACTCACCAACTGGTATATAATATAAAAAAAATCATGAAAATTATGTAAACATTAAAGGTTAGTAAGATGTCGACACTGGGCCGTGGTCGTGGCTACACGGGGCGGCACCATCTACGCGATCAGAGGCCTGGTGACCCAGAGCTTGCTGAAGAGCTTGACGCTGTTAGAACCCTCGCTGAACTCAGTCCAAGGGCGACAGGTAAACAAGGTCATTTTTCATGTGATTATTTTCTTCTTTTTTATTTTGATTTGACTTCGTTTTTATTTTATTTTTTCATTTTTGTTATAAATAATATCCATCCATTACAGCCTATAATATAAAAGTCCACTGCTGAACAAAGGCCTATAGATTGCCTCATGGGGAGAATTTTGCCATAGTTTCCACGCTTCACAGGCAGGTTGGCACTCACATTTTTTTTAGAATTTTAAACAAATTAGGACTATGCATGCAGGATAAGAATAGGATTGGCCTTTATATAAATATAAAATCCATAATAGGTTAATACAAAAAATTCAGTTGCAACTTAAAATTAACAACAGTTAATATTTAAGTGACCAAAAATATTTGTTAAATTTATTTTTAATTTGGTTTTTACACATATACACACAACTTGAAGTTAGTGTGTAATCTAAAGCAAAACTCTTCACATCTTTTTTAAATTTTATTTAGTAGCTCAAAGTTACAGCTTATATGACATATAAGCTGTACTGCTGGGCTCAGACCTCTCATTTGTGAGAAGGTTTTAGGGTAAGGAAATGTGCGCATTTTTTTTGTATTTTTTTAAAGCAAGCATTACCCTCATGACACTACACACGAGGGATGATCCAAAAGTAATGATAATAAATATTAAACACAGTCATTATAGTTAAAAAAAAACTTCTACATATAGTCTCCTAAAAAGTCAATACAATTAGTCCATCTTTTTACATAAACAAGCAAAAATATTTCTTTTTTCGATTTTTATGTGCACTGGAAATAACTGACTATTATTACTTTTGGATCACTACTCAAGGGATCATCAAATGATCTATTCGTACCTTTATGATAGTATTGTGGAGATCTTGACTCTACAAAGTCTATGTAGGCATTTTGTACCACTTCCTGAGAAGAAAATATTTTAATGATTTCTTATATTTACGTGAAGACTACACATTAAATGAAACCACAAAAATGGATTCTGTATTTTTTTTTTAAATTAATTGCAGATCACACAAAAGTAGATCCAAATAAAATAGAGGTTAAGGCACCTAAAGAAGTGGACGCAGAGAAGAAAGAAGAGATGGAAATGAAGTCTGAAGTGATAAGCCGCGGAAATGTTGAGGAAGATCCAGCACTGCAAGAGTTACTGCATATTGATGAACAATTTTTACCCCTGCTGGCATTGGTAAGACTTTTTTTTACTACTATAAACCCATGCTTTTTTTTCTTTTTTTTTTTTTAAAAAACGTTATCCCCACACTAGGATTTTCTCCTGTGTCGTGGAGGCAGTTTACAAACATAAATTGCACAAGGACAAACATCCAGACCCGGAACAATTATTTGTAGGCCATACAAATACTTGTTCCGTGCGGGATTCGAACCCGCGGCCCCCAGCGCAACAACTGATTGCTAAGCCACTACTATACTACCTGACTGTCTCATTGGTGTAGTGATTGTAAGCACGACTAGAACTCCATCAGCTCTGTTTGGCATTTGTTCAGCAGTGCACTTTTGACAAGCTATATTGAATTAACTAATTTTTAATTTTTTAGATCATTTGTCTGTCTTATAAGTAACTGGTATCCACCAATATCTTCTATATTCTACATACACTATAAAACTTGTGTGAAGTGCTAATTGGATTTTATTCATTATTTACAGTTGGAACAGTTCTCACCGGGTGAAGATGGGATTCAGTTCAACAGAAAACTTCGTCATTTTGAAACTACCGTATCTAACATGTGCCAAGATGAGACAAGGTTGCAGTAAGTATTTATGAAACAGTTAAATGTAAGAAATATCTTATTTTATTTATCACCAACTTCAAGAAGAACCAGCCGTCAGGACGTTACTAACGCAGGACAGCACTATAGCAGGCCTCTGTCACTCTTGCTACCTGCGTGAAATAATTACCTACAATCGCACGGGATCTCAATTTAGGTATAGTCTGTTCGCTTAGATACGGTCGCCTTTGTGTGAACGTGGCTGATGACGACTGGAGGCGAGTATACACAATTTAGTCCGTCACCGAGCCGAGCACGCTTGATGTCGAGTAGAGCCGAGTAAACCCAATTCCGTGCGTTACGGACCTAAACATGACGGTTTACTTAGGTTTCCACACAGGCCTCCCCCATATATTGGCTCATAGGGGGAATTTTACCAAAGTTGCCACACGTAGCAGGCAGGTTGGCAATTGCAGTTTTTTACTATTTTGAATTATTATTAGGAAGATGCTGCTGCTCATCTCATGGTTAGTAAGAAGTTTCCACTTCAATAAAAAATATGCTCTCTTTCTTTCTAGCATGGCGTTCGCTTCATTCCGTGCAGCGGCCCTCCAGAGTCTGGTGACGTCACGCAAGCTGGCAGCTGTGGGGGCGTCTTTCACACGCCAGCAACGGCAGCAATTGCTTAGAGGAGCCCTGCTTAATGTTGTCATGCAGGGAACCTTCACCAGTCAGTACTAATGTACTAATAATATCATCGTCTTTTTCATTATTACAGCTTCTCACAAGTCCACTACTGAACATTGGTCTCCACCAAGGAATGCCATATAACACGGTCCTGGGCCACTTGCATGCATTGACTTACTGCAGATCTTAATAACATATCTAAAGTAAGTGACATAGCTCAGTTGAACGGTAAGCTAGTAATGGGACGGCCATATAGTTCGAATAACCGACAACTGATGGAAAAGATGGGTTCTCAAGTGGTAACCTTTTCGCGCCGCGTTTCTCGTTAGCTGTTTAGCTGTTTTTTAGGTATTTGAACTTTATTGAAACACGTTTAAACTCATAATGTCAGGTGTTTATTTTAAATTTTACGTGGTGCATTTTGCGTAAGCAATAACGAGTCCTGATCTCTTAAAAACGAGATTTGTTTTGAACATCGGAACCTTAATTGATCACTTCCAATTACAACTGCACAAACGATAATTAAATCGTGCTTCGTATCAATATCTAAAAACTTTTTTTCATATAGATATGAAAGCTTCACATCAGTTATGTAACCGATACCATAAAAACTGACGATGCCCATGTCTACTGGTCTGTATTTTCAGCCTGGTGTAAACGAGATGGTTGTACCGCTATCTATCGGAAGCTATAAGATCTTTTTGGCGTATCTCATAGTCTTGTTACGACACCCATGGGATGAAATGGGGTAATATATTATCTTACATCACCACAAGGCAAGCAGTTTCAATGGCCTACTGTTACCGCTTATCAAAAGTCCACTGCTGAACATAACCCCCCCCCCCCCCCCCCCCCCTAGTTGCATGTTTTATTACAAATACACTGCTGCCTTCTGTCGCCTCTTACGACACCCGCGGAACCCTGTTGTGTAGTGGATATTCTTACACCGCCACTACACAGTAGTTTCAATGCTCTAAACTTTCTCTCCATATTGTTTGTAACATGATCTTTGCTGTAGTTTTAATACTAAATGTTCCTTTAATGTTGATTTCAGAACTGGATGTCCTGGAGCGATCTAATCCTATTTACTTGATAAACGCGGCTAATTTAATGGGAGACTACTTTGCTGGTGAGTATGTTTTTTTTTTCTATTATAACAGTCTAACAGCCTACTGCTCTGCATCATTGGGGGGGTGGGGGTTCGAGATTTATCTATAATCTAATGAATACTTCCTGGCTTTTCTCATAGTCACATCAAATGACCGCTATGAGAAAAAATTGGGTGTACTTTTTTACTTTCCTCCATAATACATGGTTAATATTTTTTTCATTTCATCATTAAGCACACCTTTTCAGCATCACTCATGCAATCGAATCATTTTATGTTTTTACTGTTTTTTCTTACTTACTATCTTTGATGTTTTTATATATCATTTTATTTTCTGTTATAAACTGTATGACTGTAAGTTGCTGAATAAATGCATGTCTATGTCTAAATTATATCCAAAGTCCTCTGCTGAAAAAATGGCTCCTCTACAGATTGGCAGACAGGTTGGCAGACAGGTTGGCAACTGTAGTATTTTTATTACTTTGGAGTTGTAATTAGGAAGGTGCTACTGACCATTTGCAGCTTCTTTCCCTCTGTCGCTGCTAACGACACCCACGCCAATCAATTAAAAGAGTTAGAATAACTACTTAGATTTAGTTTTGAGCGTAGTGCAATGTTATCTATTTGTTATAAAATATGTTCGCGGCGTTTTGTTGCCCCAAGATCCCGCACCTTAACCTACTGGCGACCAGTGACACCTACATTTACAAAAACTAAAACTACACACCACTTGGTTAAACTTATGTGTATTCGATTCATTCATAACAAACTAGATCTCACCGGACGCTTGTATGTAAAAGTGAACAATTGTTATAAAATACAAACGTAACCTTATTAGGATATGAATAAAGATAAATTGGCCTTTTGGGATAAGTTTAACGAGCTAATCTTAAATTTATTATTAACACTATACAAATAAATAAAAGTGTCTATTTGTAATGTCAAAATAACAGCTATTTACTAAATGCATTAGAAATTATAAACAATACTTATAACAAAAACACAAATTTTTAAATTTTGTCTGTTTGTCTGTGTGCTTGTTCCGGCTAATTCCCGAAATGGCTAGACTGATTTTGACGGAACTTTCACTGACAGATAGCTGATGTTATAGGGAGTAACTTGACAACTTTTATTTTAGAAAAATAATTTTGTGCACCACGAAAAAAAAATGAAACCCATGAAATTCAATTGTAATATATTATTACACGCGGGCGAAGTCGCGGGGAGCAGCTAAAATATGATACATCAAGAAAGACGAGGCTTCATGGTTTTAATTAGACATAGAAATACTTCTAAATTTATTAAAGTATATAATGACCACTCATCAGTCACTTTACCTATCATTTCAGAGGCGCGTCTGTGCAATGGTAACAAAGTTCACATCTTGGCCAGTCCACTGTTACAATATATGAGGGCTTTGTTAGCCTGCAACGATGTGCGTGCCCATCGCAGTCTCGCAACTCAAGTAAGTTTTATGATTTAAGGATAAAATAACAGTCAAAACAAATTAAATTTTAAAAACATTATATCATTTTATGGGTTCAAATCTATCATTCAACTTCTGTCGTAAACTGCTACTGACCAGCTTTATTTTTGGCCTTGTTTAGGCTCCAGTCTGCTACAAAAATATCCCATTCTATATTTCTGTTATGTTTCTTAAGCCTATATATGCGATAGTGGCAGAAAAAAATATATTTCCAGCTTTCCTTGCTGTGTAAATAAATCTATCATCAAATTTCATCCAGTAAACAAAGACATAAAGACATTTATTCCGACACTTCAGATTACAATCACAAATTAATAAACAAAATTAATACGAATAAAAATAAAATAAAAAAACACAAGAAAATGAATATACATAAAAAAATCGAAACAGATGAAGTGGCGGAAGGGACCGCCTCAGCATAAGCCGCGGGATAGCGACGCTGATTTTCAGTCGGCCCCATACGGTCCTACGGAGACCGTGCCATAAGTGTCGATATTAAGCGAGTAGTAGATACATATTATGATAATAACAACTGATGAATGATAATAACAAAATGGAAAATACGTATTGTGCTGAACATAAGTTGCTGAACGCTACGTGAGAAGTGACGGGAACATTAGTAAGTGACGTGATAAGTACGGTGACTCGCGTAGAGGGGAGATGCCAGAAAGTTCTTGCAGTTTCCAATAGGTTACAGTATAATCATCTTTTGTACTCTAGACGTAAAATATACAGGCTTACGATGGGCGTTAGGTCAGATGGAGAATGTCAACCTTCAATCTTCCTGCCGAGCGAAGTGATTCAGGCAAATCAAATCTTATATCCAGCAATTGGCTCTTGGACTGATGAAAAAGATCGCAAACATGTTTGCGAAGTAACATTTGTAACTAACTTTTTTTTTAAAGCTTTTATATAATGGATATCCGCAAAGTAACGCCTGAATCTATTAATTATATGAAAAAGAAGAAGATGAATATATGAATCGGCCGCTTTGTCTCGTTTTACGTCTGGCGTAAATGGGATGATTTTACCGCCAATAATTGGAAACCATGCATTATTTTTGCCTTATTTCATTCATAATCGCCTATCCATACCACGGATGAAGCATTTTATTGTTCATATAAGATTTTTCTCTGATAGTCTGTGGTTTCTTTATAGTATAATGGTGACAAAGAGCACACAGTCCACCTAATGGTAATAATTTTAATAATAATTTATGTTGTGTAATCGAGCCTAAGATAGGATAATAACTGAAAAATATTTTTCCTTCACAGCTCATGCAAAATGGTAGAGAATTACTGTCAGTTATGTCACAGGAATTGGATGAATTGTCCATATCAATTAAACTACGTCTCTTAACACCACCTCCAGTGAACATAATCTGGTTACTACTGTCTGCAGACTTATGCCTTAACAAATTTCTACCGCTGCCTAACACACTCCAACAGTTCTATGCTGCCCATTTAGACTTGAGTAGTGAAGAAAACTTCAGTGAAGTCAGTTATGGATCATGGAAGAAGAGTCCAGAGAAGGAAGAATACAGATCAGATGGCAGTTCTGATGTCAGTGCTACAGAAAAAGTTGGTCAAAATCTGTCCCAGATTAATTTGAACCACGATGAAGATCCAAAGCCAAAATTGAGGCCGATATTGGGAGCAGGAGCTGGCCTCCTCCGACAGGAACAGGCTCTGTCACAAGAACCCTTTGATGCGAGAATAACCAAGACGAGCCTTTCCAAAAGATATGATTTGAATTCATGGAGACAAGCCGAGGAAGAGAATAAAGAGGACGTTGAACCTGTATTCAACCCTGCAGTACTGCCACCAAATATGCAACCAAACTACCCAGTCACAGTACCTGATTACCCACCACCTCCACCCGCAAATAGATTTAATTATCAAGAGAATTACGTAAACTATCTTCAACAAGGCGACGGCACTTACATACAGAACCAGTATCCAAGTAACCAAAATTTTACCCCTCAAGGAGACTTTGTGCCACAATACACGGCTGAACCACCAAAACCTACATCAGAACGAGTCAACAATGAAATACAAAAGACAAGCAACAACAGGAGACCAGCGGAGAATTGGCGGAAGGAGAAGAGCGATATCAAGGAAGATGCAAATAAAAACAGACAGCGCAACTGGTCACGTCAACGGTCCAAAGACAATGTAAACGATGATGAAGAAAAGGGAGAGAAGTTTCGCTCGGCCTCTCGTAGTTCACGCGAATCGCGGCAAAGCACAACAGGAAACAGATTAAACAGACGTAATAGTGGGGACAACCAGGAGACGGGGAACTCTGGTAAGACCCCAACGCGGAGACACGTAACTGAGGTCCCTAGGAATCAAAAGTACTGGGACCATGACGATAGATGCGATAAAGACTACAATAGTTAGTGAAACATCAAAGTGATCTTGACTGACTTGTGAAACAGTGACCAGTGTTGCCAACTTAAAACTTTGACATACAAAATTATTTGCCGGCAAATATGTAATATTACAACACATTTTAGGAAAAGGCTGATGTTAAAGCTATCATGGTGCTGGTACCATACATTTGAGATCAGCAGATAGCTAATTTTCTTTAAATTCAAGTCTTATTTATGTTATGGCTGCACAAATTTATGGAAATTAATGTCAACATGTTCAAACAGGCTATTAGACCATTCGAGAAGTGACAGGCTTAGTTAAGGTAAGAGGTGCTACAGAGAAAATATCGCCCTTGAAATATAATTTATAATTATTTTAGTTTTTGATGTAAATGTTCATATTAATTTATAATTATGATGGTAATTGTGCTAAAGATTTAAAAAAATTATGGTGTATTTGGATGACTCAAAATTATCATATTCAGCTTTCATATTAATAAATTTCTAAGAAAAATGAATTTTGTTTTAAGTATTGTTAATATAAATTTTAGGCATTTTTATTTATAAAATATTATATAATAAATTATTAAGCATTGGGACTCCGAAAATATGAAAACAGAATTAACTACCGATAAATAGCTTTTTATTGCATTCATATTGTCTTTTTACTTTGATATAAATTGTATACTGTTCCCAGCATTATGACAAGTTGTCAAGCTTTTTCTTCAAATTAATTTTTCTGAGCCTGTATTTGGAAGTTATTTTATTTGAAATTTGAATTTAAACCTTTTCCCTGTACGCGAGAGGAACACAATAGTTAAACAATCGAAATATTCATATATGATTCACAGTACAGTGAAATGGTTAATTATTTATTGATGAATAATTCTGAAATTGAAAATAGTTTTTTTTTTAATGACTTTCAAGAGTTTGAAAGTTTGTAAATTGTTGATGTACTTATTATCTTGTGCTCAGTTTATAAAGTAACTGATATAAAGTTAAAAATATAATTAATCCAATTATCATAAGAACTAATACAGATAATTAGGAATTAAACTGAAAATACAAAACCCTAACTAATATAGGTAATCTCGTACATTTTCAATACAATGTCTCATTTCGCACACTTAGCTTAGCTTAATTAATTCGGATAGTTGTAGTTATGTTAAACCAATTATAAGTGCAATGTTAATATAATTACTGCAATTAAGGTTCCAGTTAAACAAAACGGTTTTAATAAGATATGTTTATACTTGACCAGTGCTACGTTTTCCATTTTCTTTATCAACTAGAAAAGCTAGAGATCCTTAATTTTCATTTTGCCATGCCTTCCTATCATTATGAATTAACTGGCAACCCAGTAGCTCATTAAGTTAGTAAATAATGTGTGCTTCTATTTTTTAGTATTTTTAGAAATAGTATAATAAAGCCTGTCAACCACTGTGGACTTGAACAAAGATAATAAAAATGTCTATAGTGACTATGGCTTAGAAAAATTCTGCATGACTGCAATGCTAATACAAAATAAATGGTCGTGCTTTGCGCGTATCGTTATAGTTAAATTAATGAGAAGACTGTCAGATAACAATTAGGTAATGTTTAACATATGAAGAGAATTTTTAAAATACCTTCTAATTCACCCAAATATATTATTACTTATACTAGAAATCTGCGAAAACCGACTACTCCAAAACTACAGTAATAAGTAGATAGTGTATAAATTAATTTCTAATATTATTTGATTTATTTAAATAACACTTCTGACATGTTTCAAATCAAGACACAAAAGTTCTTGTAATTACAAATAAAAACAAAAGTTGACCGTAAACAATAATGAAATTGGAAAAGTAAAGGTCCGTTGTTTGTGTCAACATAGGATAACTATTTAAGTTGGTTGTTTTGGAATATCACGAGTAAATGCAATTCTGCTGTTGTATATCAAAACCCAGTAAGATGATGTTATAAAAAACGTTTGACGACCTAATCTCGTTCAGTTTCTTTTCTTCTATTTCTTTAATCTATATCTATATATGAAAGCAAAACAAACACAAGATTGCTCGACTAGTCGGACTAACAGTCGAGCAATCTCGCAAAGTCGTAGAAGTGCGTTTGGATTAATTGTTAACAGATACGGACGAAAACTATTGCTATATAAATTTGTAATTTTACATTTTTATACAAAATATACTGATTTTATTAGACTTCACTTGCAAATGTAAGGATACGCTATGTTTTTGTAAATTTATTGTTACAGCCTTAAGGGGCCTTTTATAACTGCTGTAAAATTTGTTTCGGTGCCTTAAACACCTCATTGTACAACAATATGGAAGCATAGTGCCTTATAATTTTGCCTGTATTAGAATAGTTTAATTTCGTTTTTTCTTCTTCTTTATTTATGAGAATATTTGATACAGTTATTTGACATTTTTGGTTGTGGTTACACAAAAAGGATACAACCCAAAACAAAAGCCAATTTTGAAAAATCGGTCCCATAATTGCAAATTAAATTTTAATAGTAATTTTGCTTGTTTTGTAATTGTGTTCACTTCATAAAAGAACTGAACGTAAGAAGACATTTCACTTAAGTCTAGAATAGAATAATTTAATATACATTACAAGAATACTTATACTCCGGGAAGAAACAGCAAAAACCCAGCGGGGACTTTTTGGTTGGATTCTTGCATAATAATGTCTATTTTTGGTCCAAATACAAAAACTAACTGAAATTAGTTTGCAGTTTAGTTGACACGGTAATAAATACTTCGTTGAAAATTTTTTGGCCAATGGCAAAGGTTGCACGTTTTTACAGCGATTGTTTATATCATAACATTATAAGTAATTGTTATGGTCTAATTATGATTAAAATTTGCCGCAACATAAATATATTTTTACTGTTGAGAAGAAAAAAAAACAGACAGTCATTTACACAGACCGCTATATCACAAGCCAGTAGCAACGCGTAGTAGACATGTTGGCAACGTATTATATATGTCGAGGTCATCGGTGACGCGAACCCATTAGTTTTTTTCCTACCAAAAATCGCTCAACGCGGCTAAATAAGTTTTCATTTCAAAAACAATATATTTTTTGTGTATTAGAATGTATTCTCCGAGAGGGTGGGTAGGCAAAGTTCAAAAAGCCGCTATCTCCTTGGACCGCGTTTAACCAATGAATATGGATTAAGATAGAAAATTGTGAAAGTGATAGGTGACTAGTCCATCGCCTACACAACCACAAACCCAATATCACGTTAGCCAACTTTTGTAGTACATGCAAGTAACAGTAAGTCCCGGACCAACATGGGACTAATTCTTTTTAAACTCGTCTCATAAGATTTTTTCATACGTCTCAAAGGTAAATTAATAAAACTCTATGGGTGTTTCAAAGTAATAATATAGTACTATACTGTACTACATTAAAAATATATTACGACACGATTGTTTATCAGCTCTTAATAAATACCTGTGTAATAAATGCCTCTGGAGCATGAGTTATTCTATCGTATCGTATCGTATCGAATTCGTATCGCCATCGAGTGACTTCGTATGACAAATATACTCCATTTACGTCCGCCAGGGGCGCTGTTCAAATTTCAATACAAATCGTAATCGATTAGTCAACAACGATACGAAGACGATAATGATAAAAACTTGTGCTAAAGGCACAGTTTACTTTTACCTAATGCTGTAAAACGTCATATTTGTAAATCTCCCAGATTTTAGCAATCAATAGCTAACGGACCCGTCATACCTCCGTATTACCTACTAATTCTAGTAAATTTGCTCAACTTATTTTAGATACCTCTATAATACATGACATTTTTATTTCCTATCACCGTTCATAATTTTGTAACGAAATCCTTCCGCCTTTTTAATTTAGTTAAAACTTTGTGAACAACACATTAATTGGATATTAAAGTCTGATAGCAGTTTTTAGCAGTTATTAATGTGTTATTTAAAAACGGTCAAAAATAGTAAAATATTTTTTATGATTAAATTTGATAAGTTAATGTACTTCATAAATAAATATTTTATTATAAAAAATAAATATGGATTCATTAGTATAGTACATTTATTATCACTCACATAAAATTATGATCTCTAATTTGGTTTACATGCGAATCCAAAGTATATATTTATTAAAGAAACGATAAGCCGCAGGCGTTTTAGTGATTTATGGCATGCTTTAGATATTTATTTATCATATTTATATTTTTAGCTAGCAACACTTACAGTCTAGGATTTTTTTTTATAATCACATCCAAAGATTCGATTTGATTTGTGCTTTAAACCCGAAATTTTTAGTTAGCCTTTAAAACTCAATTTATTTTAATAGTTACATTAAATTCACTATTTATTTATCAACGTAATTAGAAAAATAATGAATGAAAATTGTTTTGAAATACACAATACATACAAAATACTGCTAATATGTTATGGCGTACAGAATAATACACAGTTTGTACAACATTTGTATTTTTTTTATTTAATAGGTACACAGAGTATTGTCTTGCGCCGGGATAGTATACGGTTTGTTAACTGTAGTCTTCGCACGAGACTAGCCTGTATTGCGAAGACCACACTAAGTTGAATTCACTGAAATCCACCCCAGTTGACACTTTGTATATCGTTACGTTGTTTGAAATATGTATAAAATTATAAAGCTAAAAACTATTAAAGGTTCTTGAAGCTTCAATTGTGTTGATACTTTCAGTTGAATATGATACACCTAGATATCTTACAAGTAGTGTTAGAGCAATTAAACTTCTTAAATTCTGTGTACACGGATCATTACTTACATCACTTGAATTTATAAATTTAAGTAATAATTTAACTTTAGTACACTTAAGCATTTTTAACCATTATTACTCAAAGGAAAATTAAATACTGGTTGTTCAATCATCAGATGGAAGTTTTCCATCAACCACATTACTGAATATGTCTGAATATAAAAGTGAAACAAAGAGGGCTAATAATCTTCGTTCACCAGATGTCGCTAATTAGGACTGAGGTGAACCTTTTTGTTACG